AAAGTTGTGGCACCTGTTGAAGTGGGTATTCCTATGAGGGAAGCTTATAATACTTCCCTCACAAACCCTGAACCTGTGGCACCCACCCCTGGATTATTAATTGAGATGAACCAAGCAATGGAGATTGATTAGTAAATACAAAAAGCAAGGAAAAAGAAAAAGACTAGCTCAAAACTTCAGAGATTAAAGGATGATCCTCCATCTATGGTTGCTAGCCCCTCTAGAAGGGGACTCTCCCTCTAGAACTAGAAAAGGGAGAGTGCGATCAAGATCCCAATGTTCTCCTTATAGTTAACTTTCTGTGCTGAAATATTAGAGGAATTGCTCATCCCCTTTCTATTAAAAGACTACTTCATTTAAATAGGAAACATAAACTTTGGTGCATTGCAATTTTGAAACCTATGGTTCACAGATACCCACAGAAACTGATTATAAAGTTTACTGGTTTTTCCCATTTTTCTAATATCAACAATAAGATTTGGATTTTTTGCAAAAAAGAAATCAATTGGTTTGTATTGATAGATAATCCTCAATATGTTCATCTCTCATTCCTTATGAATGGTAACTATGGTTTTGTGATTTTTATATATGTTGGTTGCAACAAGGTTGATAGAGTAGAGCTCTGGTCTGCCCTCCATTTAATCAGTTCTAATATGTCTTCCAGCTGGCTGGTGGGAGGAGATTTTAATTGTATTGCCTCTTCAGATGAAAAGACTGGTGGAAGAGCTCCTAACCTTTCAAGGATCAATTCTTTCTGTGATAACGTACATATGGTTGACCTTTTTGATTTGGGGTTCTTCGGCCCTACCTTTACTTGGAAGAGCGTGGGAAAGGTAGAACAGATTCCTGGTGAATGACCTATGGTTTCAACATTTTTTTCATACTTCAGTTACCCATTTGAGTTTAGCTGGTTCTGACCACAGACCCCTTCTCATCACCATTGTTGCCCCCCTCCCTCCTCCTTTTAAGCCACCTCCTTTCAGATACCTCAACATGTGGTTGAGCACCCTTCCTTCTTAGAATGTGTTGTTGCTAACTGGTGTGGTATCCAACATGATAACCCTTTGATTAAGCCATGGTTCCTACATTTAAAGGTGAGTAATGCTCTTAGATCTTGTGGTTGGAAAAATTTTGGGGATGTTTTCTCAGTTGTGGATTTTGCTGAAAGAGAGGTGAAGGCTCTTGAATTTGCTTTGTTGGATAATGAGGATGTGGAAAACTCTTTAATTGCTGCACAAGAGAGACTACTTACTGTCATTGAGTGGCAGGAACTTTATCTATGTCAGAAAGCTGCTTTTAACAAATTTAAAGATGGAGATAAAAATAACAAATTCTGCCATGCTTATATAAAGTACAAAAGGAAATGTAATGCCATCCATGGCATACACAATTCTATTGGAGAAAGGATCCATGATAATAAGGATATTGCTTGGGTTGCAATTTCATTCTTCCACCAGCTGTTGTCACAACCCCCAGCTGATAGACTATTTTTTAACACCAACATGTGCAGTAAGGATCTCCTATACACCGAAAATCTTTCATTGATTGACCCTCCTGAAGAAATGAAATTTGGGAAGTAGTAAATTCTATTGACAGCTCCAAGACAAAAAACCCAGATGGCTTCACTGCTGACTTTTATAAAAAAGCACGGGGGTTATTAAAGTTGATATGATTCATGCCATCCAAAGCTTCTTTTAAGGTTCTAACCTCCCACATTACTTTTATGCTTCCTGTATGGTGCTGATACCTAAACAATCTGAAAAAAGAGACTGGAATCAATTTAGGCCTATCAGCTTAGTTTCATTGGTCAACAAGATTATCAGCATGGTCATTGTGGCCAGACTTCAACCCCATATAGATATACTCATCAGTTCTAATAAGACAACTTTTGTCAAGGGCAGATCAATACCTGATAATGTACTCCTAGCACAAGAACTCATGCTTGATTTGGACAAGCCTTATAGAGGAGGAAATTTAATTTATAAACTGGATCTCAGAAAAGCTTATGATACTATCTGCTAGGAGTTTATAGTTGAAGTTCTTGTTGCAAGGGGTTTCTCTAAGGAATTTTGTGATCTCATTTTCAGATGGCTGAAGAACAATTTTCATTCAATTCTCATCAATGGACAATCTTGAGTTAATTTTACTCCCACTAGAGGTTTGCAACAAGGGGATCCTCTATCCCCCACCATTTTTATTCTTGCTCTGGATTACTTGTCTAGAATGTTGGATCAAAGTCTGCTCCCTAACTCTTATTTCAGGTATCATCATAAATCCAACTTGGCAATCTTCCATCTGGTTTATGCTGATGATATAATGGTAATCTCTAGAGCTAACAAAAATGTAGTTAAAAAAGTATCCAAGTGCCTATAGATTTTCCAACAACATTCTGGTATGTACTTTAACCCTTGCAAATGTTATTTGTTGTTCAACGAGCAACTTACTCTCAACATAAAGGCTTGGCTCCTTCAACTCACTGGCTTCTCTAAATCCGCCATTCCTCTAAAATATCTTGGGGTTCATCTCATCAAAGGCAGATCTAAACATATTCAGTTTGAGGAGGCCTTGAGAAAAATATCAGGCCAACTTTCTTATTGGACACACTCATTTCTTTCAAATGGAGGCAAAATTACTTTGCTTGAAAGCATTCTCACCACCTTCCCTTCTTACATCCTACAGATGAATACCATGAAAAAGAGCACACAAATTCAGATGAAAAGGGTCTTCAATAGTTTCTTAAGGTTTGGTCAGAGGCATTGGCTTCCAGGGACTACAAAAGCTGCAACAAGTAAATCTATGTAAAATTTGGATTAAATTCAGACAACAATCTTCACTATAGGCTAAATATATTCAAGGGAAATATTGCAGGGACATCCACCCCATTTTGGGTGATTCTAGATTGTGGACTCATATGTTGAAAATAAGAAGCACGGCTGAAAATCTGTTCGTATGGGACCTAAACAAAGGGAATGTTCATTTTTGGTTAGACAATTGGTGTCCTAAAAGGATGTTGCAAGCTAAAACTAATGAACTGAGCCCCCAACTAAAAGTGCCTGACTGTTGGGATGGAGATCAATGGTCTCTGCCTATTCTGAAACTCTCCTAAAAGACTCCTGCTGTGAGTATCTCCAAAGTGTAGTTTGACAAAACCAGAAATGACAAAATTGTTTGGCAAGCTTAGTCTAATTAGAGCATTACCAAAAGAATATACTCCGATCTCTACAACTGGGATGATGTGCCTTGGGGTGGTGTCATCTGGAACAGTTTCTTATCACCTTCAATGTATTTCTTTTGTTGGAGGATCTTCCACAAGCTACTCCCTTATGATGATATCCTCAAACTGAAAGGGCTGAGAGGTCCATCAAGGTGTTGGCTGTGTTTGGCTGCTGAGGAATCTATCCCTTACTTATTTTTTGAATGTTCTTTTTCTCAAGAGGTATGGAGGGGGTTCACCAACCTGCTGCTCCTGGACACCATTAACTTGCAGTGGCTTCACCTCAATTCATGTTGGAAAAGTTAGGAAACAACTAAGGCTGGACCCATACCTTTTATTATTTCCTGGTTCATTTGGATGACAAGGAATCATACTAAGTTTGAGGGTCTTAATTCTTCAACTAACAAAGTGACCAGGCACTGCATCTCGTTCTTACTCAAGCTCATTAAACATAAGAGATTCCCCAACATTTGCTTAGCTCTCATGGCTAATCATGTTACTTTGCTTAAGGTTATCAACGTGCAGTGGAAACCCCCTCTTATCCTTTCATAAAGGTGAATATTGATGGTAGCATCTCTGATTTGGGTGCTGGAGTGGGTGGGGTTTTCAGGAATCAGTCAGGACATTGTTTATTTTTTTTCAATGCCCTGTCATTGCTTTTTTGAGGTTGAAATCATTGCTATGTATTGGGCATTCAGACTTGATTTCATGTTTCAATGGGAGCACCTTTGGGTGGAGATGGATTCTACTTATTTGCTCCAATTGTTGGTTGGTGATGAGTCCTCTTCTTGGCATAATTATCAATGGATGCAAAAGATTAACTCCATCCAACCTTCCCTCAACACACAAGTTTCTTTTGTCTACAGAGAAGGAAATAGGCCGACTAATTGGCTTGTTATATTAGGTTTCTCTACTTATGTTGCTTCTGTTTCTACTTCCCCACCCCACCTCTATATTTCATACTTGAGGGTAGGGCTGCAAACGAGTCGAGCTTGAGTGGGCTCATGCTTCGCTCGTGTCTAGCTCGTAAGAAATTGTTCGTGTTCAAAATCGTCTTGTGTTCGAGACCGGCTCGTGAACAGTGTGTTCGTGTTGGATTCAAAATTAACTCGTTAACATTAAACTGAAAAAAAAAAGATGTAGAGTGCTAGATTCGAACCTGGACAAAATCTATGTAAAAGAAGACGCATAACCACATTACCCCACGAACAATTATGTTTTAAACAACTTAGATATAAATATTTATAATATATTATTACATAAATAAAATATGCAATATATTTTTTTTATAAATAATTATATAAATTGTTTATTTCAAGCTAAAACGAGCCGAACATGAGCGAAAAAAGAGCTGTTCGTGTTTGATCCGTTTATAATTCGAACTTTAAAAACTTGTTCGTGTTCAGCTCTTTTACTTAACGAACGATCTAAACACAAGCGACTTAACGAGCCTAACACGAGTTGTTCGAGAACAACGAGTTTTTTTGACAACCCTACTTGAGAGAGACCTTTTGGATGCTCCTCATCTCAGAATTGTACTTTGATCTTCAAGCAATAGAATTTATCTTTCTTAATTATATTTATATCCTTCTCTAACCGCGTCTTTTATTTTTTTGTAACCATAATGCAAACCACGCAACTCCGTACATAAATTTCCCTCTAAGAAAAAAGAAGAAAAATGATTCTGAAAAAATGTTTTAATTCTTGCTATATATATATATATATATATATAATATATATACATACAATATAGATATCCTTTTCTAAATATGATTTTTTTTTTTTAGCCCTAATGCAAATCACGTTACCGGTATGGCCAAGGGAAAGAAAATATAATTCAAAAAAATGTTCTGATCGGCCTACGACCGGAGGTGATCAGACCGCGCGCACATCGCTCGCTGGAAAACCAGACGGTCGACCAAAGCTCTCCCGCGAATCGAGCAGAGGAAGGGAAGGAAACACCACAGGTCGAGCACTCGAAGCGCTGAAATGAGGATCGAAGAAGTCCAATCCACTACAAAAAAGCAACGCATAGCCACTCATACCCACATCAAGGGCCTTGGTCTTGATGTATTTACCCTTAATCTCCTCAACTAACGGCTTAGGGTTTAGGGTTTTAGCTTTTTATTTGCATCCTCCAGCATTTGTTATCATAACCCATTTTTACAGATTTTTCCTGTGTTTCAGGTGAATGGACATGCCATCGCCATGGCTGCCGGTTTTGTAGGGCAGGTGACAGCCAGGGAAGCGGCAGGTTTAGTGGTGGACATGATCCGACAGAAGAAGATGGCAGGCCGGGCGCTACTCTTTGCTGGTCCTCCAAGCACTGGAAAGACGGCGCTGGCTCTAGGGATTGCTCAGGAGCTCGGGACCAAGGTAAAGTACAGCCCTTGCAAACATTTTTTTTTGTGTTCTTCAATAATCGAAGTTTGATCGGGAATGAAGTTTTTTTTTGTCTACTTTTCATGCCGATCCTGTCATGAATTCAATTTGTTTTGTGACTTGTATTTGTTGGGATCATAAATGTCCATTTATGATCAAATAATTTTGGTTTGATTTAACTGTAGTAGTTTCCAAACAAGCTTAGAATGGTGAGAACTGTATGACTAGTTTTGTTGCATCACACCAAGGGGCTGTGTGACTGCAAGTAGGGAGTAAAAGAGCCGAACACGAGCTGAGCCGGCTCATTAAAAAAATACCACTGTTTGTGTTCGACTTGTTTATATTTTCAACAAAAAAAAATTGTTCATGTTCGTCTCTTTTGCTTAGTGAGCTGAACACGAGTCGTTTGTGAACAAAAAGCTATTTTGACGACTTTAGCTATGCAAGACGAGCCGAGTTTGAGTGAGTCCAGACTCGACTTGTTAAAAAATATCATTGTTCGTGTTCGACTAGTTTATCGAGCTCAAAAAATTTGTTTGTGTTTGGCTCGCTTGCTCATCCAGCTGAAAAGAGCTATTTACAAACAATGAGTTATTTTGACAACCCTAATCACACAACCGTAAGATGTTAAGGGTAGACCGAGATCTAAATTTGTTATTTATATTAAAATATTCATTTAAATAGAATTTAATATATTTTTATTCTATTTTTAACTGGTTATTAATCTTTGTAGCGTTGTATTCAATTAAATTATTTTAAAATAATACTCATTATGTATATATATATATATGTATATATATATATATGTATATATGTATATATATGTATATATGTATATATATGTATATATGTATATATATGTATATATGTATATATATGTATATATGTATATATATGTATATATGTATATATATGTATATATGTATATATATGTATATATGTATATATATGTATATATATGTATATATATGTATATATCTGTATATATCTGTATATATATGTATATATCTGTATATATATGTATATATCTGTATATATATGTATATATCTGTATATATATGTATATATATATGTATATAATTATTTAGATTCAAAACGAGTCAAACACGAATGAATAAAACTTTTTTTGTGTTTGGCTTGTTTATATATCGAGCACAAAAAAATTGTCAATGTTCGTTGTCCATGTTCGGCTCGTTTGCTTAGTGCACGAATCGAACACGAGCTACTCAACGAACCGAAAATGAGCTGTTTGCGAGCAACAAGCCGTTTTGACAGCCCTAGTTGCAAGTAGGGTTTATTAAATCCATAAATAAATCCCATCCCTTGATTTAGTAAAACTGGAATTAGATAGAATCAGAGGCAGAACTGGATTTATTAAATCTGAAAATTTGTAAATCCATAAAACACTTGCATTTAACCGTTTGGTTGGATTTAGTAAATCCAACAATAAATCCTATAAAAATCCTTTATCAAACAACCCCCTAGTATGCAGATATGCTGACAACTCAATGTGGGGCTAATCAGGTAAAATTGGTGTGTACCCATCGGATCAACACTTTACCTTGTGCGGTCTCTATTTCATGTGTGGGTGTGGCTAAGGAAGTGGCATGCCTCACCATCATTAGCCTTGCCAGGCCACATGTGTAAGTTCAAGCCTAAATGGTCTTCAACTATGCCAATTTGTTTTTTTTTGTGTAATTCAATATAAAGAATCGAAAAATATCTAAGCAACTGTGCCTCCTTCATTGCCAATTTAAAGCCATTTTTCTCTCAACACTCTTCTCAAAGAGTTAATCTAAATGAAAATGATGAGACAATGGTGTTTATTTCTACAAGATTACTTTGAGAGGCGATGAAACTTATCATAATTATTCTATTCACTCATCCTATTAAAAATTGGGGCATTGCAACTAATATGTTCGTGAATAGCATGTTAAATTTAGATTTGCGATTTGATACTTCATTGATGGTGGCTAGCTTTGTTTGCATTACTTGTTTTCACTGGGCGATCTAGGGGTGAGACATTGTTGCATAAAAATTTGACCTTGAGAGGCACCAATCTCCATTGTTCTTTGTAGATATAAAGAGTTTAGATAATAATTTAAAATTAACTCATTAGAAAATTATAATTATATATATATATATATATATAGAGAGAGAGAGAGAGAGAGAGAGAGAGAGAGAGAGAGGTTCATTTTTCACTTTGTTTGTTGTATTTTTTATAATGATTTGTAACTATGGAGAAAATTGTTTCCCATTGATGATGCCTGTGATTATTGTTGATGACAATCTTATTTTTGGCAAAACTAAATTTTGATGCATAGCTTGTTTTAGTAGGTCAATAGGGATTGCGCTATTCTTGATACTTATTGTTGATGGCCGTCATGCTTGTAGCAATAAGAATGTCGAACTATAACATTCGTTGTAGTCAGCCAATATTGATTTAGCCTTTTATTTTGCTTTTTGTTGACAACTAATATTATTATGTTAGTAGCATTGGAAGACATGCCACTAATAGTAGTTAGTTAGTCGACAACGGCAGATTCATTTGCCTGCTAATGAATGTCTTCTGATCACATCAACAAATTTCTAATGTTTTGTTTGTTCCGTCTTTTTGGTAAATGATGATGTTAAAGAACACAACAAAAAAAAAGATGATTTTGAAGACCACAATAAGCAAATGCACTATAGCATGTCTCAACACCACTCACAAATGGCACTTTTTCTATATAGGAACATTGTTTACCTTGCCATAGCTCATCAATGTTGCAATTGCATTCAATGCACTATAGCAAGCCTCAGCACCACCTACATATGCCACTTTTTTCTATCCAGGAACATTGTCGACCTTGCTATAGGCCATCTTTGTTGCGGTTGCATTCAATGCATGCAGTCCTAATTGGATGCTTTTTGCATTATTATTTTCCATTTTGACTCCAAAATGGTATGTTATATTTAATTTCCTCGAATTTATTGTAGGTGATTTTTATAACTAGGCCAGATCTTGTATTTTTTTCCCCTTTTTCTTGTTTGAGTTTGGATCCCTAGCTATGATAATGTAAAACTGATGCATTCAAGCTCAGGAAAAAATCTAATTTGTCATGCAATAGTTTGCTTTCATTTTGTGTGAAGCCAATCCATATCAATAGACTTGAAACTGTAATAGGTAGTGATTTTTCACTTGTAAGGATCCCACCATCCTCTATTTTGGGAGTTCATTACCAACTAGTTTGACTTCATTTAGCTGCAACAGCCGTCTCCTTAAACATGCCGGCTGATTAATCTTGCATGTTGAAATTGAGCGGTTTAATAGTCATTGATAGCACCGGTGTGTGTGCTCTCAAGTCCGTATGATGCATTTTGTTTCAACAATCTTGACCTTCCTGGAGCCATTTTGTCTGCAGCATTCATTTCTTTTGTGATTTGTTCATCTCTAAACATTTCATTTTATGAGATGACTGATTTTTATAAAAATTATGACATTTGATTGTTTCTACTTGATCCATTAAAGTGGTGACACTCAATTGTTTATGGCAATAGGACAACTGATACTTTGATTTATCATCACCAACGTGTTTATGAAGCTGTTTCCTATGATATAATATATTTAGGTTTGCGATTTGGGCTGCCTACAAGCAGTGCTTGTTGATTCCAAGCTGATTGCCTCTTCTGAATTTGGTTCGGTCGGGCTAACCCAAGTGCATCAATCATTTAACCTTATTTTTATTTTTTAGTTTTTATGAAATCCTTTAGTTTTCTCTGTTTGTTGCTGACAAATACAAAAAACGTTTCTGATAAATGCCAAAAAAAATCGTCTAAAGACCCTATAAATATGACATATATATGATTTTGGCTATAGAGAAGTTTTCTCATCGTCAATGATACTCATTGCACTCACCGATGACTACCATCTGGGCTTTGGCCATAGCAACGTCGTACATCTTATTTGATACAAGTAGTTGACAATCATTATACGAATTATTTCTCACACTCTTGACAACTATTTTACTCATGGCAATAACACTATCATATGCTTCCTCCTATTGTTAGCCATTTTTCACACTTTTTGTTAGTTTTAATTGAATTTGTGTCAACAACAAGTTTGCAACTACAAACGTTTCACTTATTGTAATTAAGAGACAATAATTTAGTAAGAAATTGCTGACGAATTTTTTGTTCATCACAGTAGTTGATGTCAAATAAGCTGCTTTTTTTTGTCAATTGAACATAAGAAAACATTTAAAATTGTGACAAGTGACAACTTGCAGACAAAGATGCCATCCATGGACATCACTATTCACATTTTGTGGGAATGTTGTCTGCCTTGCCTCCACTTGTCTCTTTTTTAGATTTGGATGTGCTTTTGGTGATCAATCTAGGTGCCAGTGGTATCTTTATTTTTAAATGGAATCTTGCTTTGAGGTCTCTCCAATTGCTTGGAGTTGAACCGCTTGTGTGCAAATGTCAGCATATAGTGCATTTGCAATTGTGCTACACCTCACTATTTCTTTTTCTTTTTGGAGTTTTTCTTTGTAACAAATCTTCTCTCTTTTACTCCGTGTTCGGATATTTTGAACTGAGATAATGTGAAACTCTCGCGCTCTTCTAGTATATGGAACTATCTTTCGAAGAAATCAAAACTCAAACTGTGCATTACATTTTTTGCATGTTGACCAGAGTTCAGCATTTCTACTAAAATTTGAGGATGCTTTTGCTCTTCTTTCTTTGATCTCTGAAAGTGGTATGTTCTCAGCTTCAGAATAAGACTAAGTGCACCATCACAAAGCAACTGTTGTCCCGCAAATTGCCTGGCCTTGTTATCTTAACTATATGCTGTATGCCTGTTTTAAAATTGTTAGAATACTGCAACTTTTCTCTTTTATCTTGTGGCATATATGCTCAATATCAAGATCCTATTCTTGTGTTTTTTTGTAATATGCTAATGTTATTATACATCACAGCAGTGTCAAATATTAACTTTTATACAATATAACACAACTGTCAATTAATTGTTCCACTTTATCTAAAAATAGATATTGTTATGCTATTGACTGGCCATATGTTCCTTTATGTCAAGGTCCCATTCTGCCCGATGGTTGGGTCTGAGGTTTACTCATCAGAGGTTAAGAAGACTGAAGTGCTTATGGAAAATTTCAGGAGAGCTATTGGTTTGCGAATTAAGGAGAACAAGGAGGTTTACGAAGGAGAGGTATTGGTTTAGTTTTTGTTTTATTTTCTTGGTTTTTTTTTTCATTTTTTAAATTTTCACTATTTTTGGCACTTTAATGCATATTAACTTTATGTTTGTTTTAATGGTACTGTTTTGTTTATCTATATTAATGTAGTAACATTTTTTTTTATCCTGATTTTGGATACAACGTTTATTGCCCATTTGCAGGTGACTGAGCTCTCTCCAGAAGAAACCGAGAATACTACCGGAGGCTATGGAAAAAGTATTAGTCACATCATTATTGGGCTAAAGACTGTCAAAGGAACCAAACAGTTGAAATTAGATCCTACCATTTATGATGCTCTAATAAAAGAAAAGGTAACATGTGATATCTACCTACAAATTTTTTCATAATTTCCATAGAATTTAATTATTTATGACAAGAAATTGCGCCATAATCTTCATATAAACTCCTTGCTTAATATATTTTTGGTGTGGCAACAGCAGTGCTTGTGCTTGCGTTTTATTCTTTTTTATTACTAATGAAAACGACAGGTTGCTGTAGGTGATGTGATATACATTGAAGCAAATAGTGGTGCTGTGAAGAGAGTAGGCAGGTGTGATGCTTTTGCTACGGAATTTGATCTTGAAGCTGAAGAATACGTTCCGATTCCCAAAGGGGAAGTGCACAAGAAAAAGGAAATTGTGCAGGTAGAAAATTTCTCATTACAATTAAATGAGTTGTATTACACAGATTAGAATTCTGCTGTAAATTCATGTAACTCTTCCGTGTCATTTATTTTGTAATAAGTGATAGCTGAGGGTGCCATCTTTGTATGTTTGTATGCTTACTTAGTATGTATAATTTTCTATTAAATGAAAGTTATGTGATTTTCATTTAACTTATCTTCAGAAGCTGTAAAACCTTATGCATTCACTTAAGTTGTATATTTTTTCCTTCACTTTTTTTTTATGATACTCAGTATCCATATTTTTATAATTTTCTTTTTTATGATACTCAATATCCATATTTTGTCCCATTTCTTGTGTTAGTTATGTAGATCAGTGGATATTTTAATTGAGGTATCGTAGTGTATGCTATTTGGAAATGATGCTTCTTATAGGTGAAAGACTCTATTGTAATAACTAATATATGGACGTTAGAACAATCTGTAAGTTTTTTGAAGATGTATGCATTGCTGTTGGCAGAGCAAATATTGAAGGGATGATGCATAATTTTAGTGGTTATGAATTTAATAATATTCAATGAATATTTTTGGACGAATGCATAATAACATTAGATATATTTGATTTATTAATGGGAGAGCAGTGATATGAGGACATTTTTTTTGGGAGTGGCAGTTGAATGTCTAATATAGAGAAGTGCTTTGTGTACCATGTGATGAAGAAAATATCTTGGAGAAATAATTAAAAGTTTTATAAGACAACAAAGCTTAATTAATGGTGGGATGACAATGGTTCTACTGTTGAGTTATTAACACGTTGCTGATAGCCAAATTGACTAATGAGAATGCTAAAATGGATGTGTCATTTAAGATTAAATGGTTAATTTTGGAATGTGTTTTGGGAGTGTTATCTAGTAAAGGACAATATCATGAAGAAATATGGTAGATTTTAATAGACAACAGTTTAATTCTAGAATGTGATTGCAATGGTTCAACTATTTTCTATGATTTGAATGTTAAACGACAAAGTAGCATCTTTAGCTACGTTGAATAAGACAAATTTAAAATCTAAGATGAATCTGTGCTACAACTAGGAAGATAGATATATAAATAATTACATCGGAGTGATGGTGAGGGTAGAACTCATTGGAAAGTAGTTGAAAATAGCACCTATTGTCAATACTGTACTAAAAAATAGATATGAGTGATTTTTAGATGTGCAATAATTGTTAACAATTGCATGCGAATATACAAAAACAACAACAACAACAACTTGGGGTCGGCTACATGAATCCTTTTTCTCCATTGCGTCCTATTTAGAGTCATATCTTCATTTAGTTTTAGTAAATTAAGATTATTTTTAATACAATAAGCCCATGTATTCCTAGGTCTACCTCTGTCTTTCTTAACACAAGTCGAATCTAAAACATCTACTCTCCTAATCAGATCATCAGATGGTCGACGTTTAATGTGACCAAACCATCTTAGACGACTTTCTTTAATTTTGTCCGTCACAGGAGCTACACCAAACCTATCACGGATATATTCATTTCGCATTTTGTCTCTAAGTGTAAAGCCACTCATCCACCTAATCATTCTCATCTCGGCAACACTTAGCTTATTATTATGCTTCTCTTTTAAAGGCCAACATTCAGTGCCATATAACATTGCAGGTCTCACCACCGTCTTATAAAATTTTCCTTTCAGTCTAAGCGGTACTTTTCTATCACACAAAAGGCCCGAAGCATTCCTCTACTACAACCAACCAACTTGAATTCTACTATTAACATCCCCATCTATATCACCATCGCTTTCAACAACGGACCCAAGATAT